ATATATATATATATATATATATATATATATATATATATATATATATATATATATATATATATATATATATATATATATATATATATATATATATATATATATATAGAGAGAGAGAGAGAGAGAGAGAGAGAGAGAGAGAGAGAGAGACTTGTGTGTGAGAGAGAGACTTGGGAGAGAGATTTCTAATTAAATAACTTTATTTAAAAACTCAGGTTAATTGTGGGGTTTTCTCATAAAAGCTCACCTTCTCAGATTGTTCTACACCCCCTTTTTGATGAAAGGACTTTTCCAAGAGTCAGTCTAGTCTTTGCTCTGTTGCATTTATTCCAGCTTTCCATTATATTCACTGGCAATGCCGAGGTGGGGGGCACAGATATGAGAGATAAGAGTCACCCAGCTTCCCCAGTCTGGTTAGTACATCTGGCTGAAGGGAAAGGGACTTAAGAGTCAGGCATTTTTCACAGGGTTTTCTTTGTGAAATAATCCAGAACATCTCACATAAATATTTGTTGCATTAAAATGAACCATCCTTTTAAGGCCCTTGAGCCACAAAACTGATTGCTGATTGCCCTGCAAAAATAGCATCTCGGTGCAACTGGAGGGAACAGTTGCTGAGGCCTTGTGTCTGACTGCCCAACAATCACCTTTATTAGGATTTAACTAGACATGGGCCCAGGCATTCTGTCCCATTTCTGCCCTATTAAGACATCCATTTTGGGAGCTTTAGACCTGTATTGCATTGATCCAGACCAAAAAAAACTTCACAGAAGTTCTGATGTCACACAAATCCAGGGTAAGTTCTTCAGAAAGGGTCTGTTGAACAAAACATTTGTTGGAAGGAAGAAATGTGCTGAATTAACAGTCTGAGGGTTTTGAGGATAAGTATATTGGGAAAAATGATTACGGGTACTATGTGCTGTTTTTTTTTATCTGAAGTTGTGTACTGACTGTTGCTTTTTACATTTATTTTATTTTTATTTTTTTATTATTGCTTGTGAGCCTCTCAGGTTATGTTGCATAAGATGAGTGGCCAGGGCTTTTTTTCTCGGAGAAAAGGTGGCGGAACTCAAACCTGGCCACGCCCTCATCAAACCCTAGGACCGCCCCTTTAGAGAACAGGAATGCAAGTAAAATTTGGGAGGGGCTATTTCCGGTGTGGGGCTATTTCCGGTGCGGCCGGCCTGGAAAAAGGTGCCGGAACGCGGTTCCGCCGCGTTCCGGCTGAAAAAAAGCCCTGTGAGTGGCTATACAGATCTGATAGGTAGGGAGGCAGGGAGGCAGACAGATTGATTTATTCATTGCCTAGGCCATATGTTATTGCAGAATCTGAGCAAAAAAGTCCTATAGAGCCAGGATTTTCCCCAACCTAATTTGGCAAATCAAGGCAACATTTCAAGCCAGCTTCATATCAGTTCTACCCCTGCTTAAAATACAGTGCAGTGGAAAATGGCATGTTATCCTTTTCTTGTTGCTGTTTCACTAGAAAGAATGCAAACAGTGATGAGCATATGTTTACATATAAGAGGTATATCAATTGGAGAATGATTCACATCTGAGGTTGTGCAACAGAAATGCCAACAAAGACTGCATGATGGTGTGGGAGAATTGTGGATAAAGATAGGATAACAAAGTGCAGGCATTGGAGAAAGTGATTCAGTAAATTACAGATTTTCTTCAACTCTTGCTAGTAGCAAACCATGATCCTGGAATTCAAGGGTAAATAGTTTACTTTGCAATACAAGTATACACATCATTTACTTCAAAATGAATAGTTAATTATCATTTGTAGAATGATTTTGGAGTTAATTTCCCAAGAAGTTAAGTTTTTTGCATTAATTTTTGGTGAAACACATATAACAGAAATAACATACTGTATTTGTTTAAAATATCAGTGTCACTCACAGGATGCCACTAAGTTATATAGATAACAACTTGGTCCATTGTGGCATAGAAATAAAAGCCTGCATAGTACAAGTCTATGATGGTACTAGTATAATAAATGGAACATTAAATGGAATGCAAAGTTTCTGAATAATAAATGTAAAGTTATCTATCTCCATTTCTACAACAGCAGTTTGCATTTGCTTTTGCCTGTGAAAACATTGGTAGAATTGCAAATTTCTTTATTTTTATCCAGAACCCGTTCCATTTGTATCACATTCTTCTCCAAATTCAGTTTCTCTGAATTGCAAAAAAATAAAATAACATCAAAATATATACAGCAGAATTATTGTATTGAATAAATTGTCAGATATTCACTTGGCATGACATACTGCATTGTGCTTAGTTGTTAAATTGACACTTTCAATAACGATTGTTTCTGCAAGCAGCACTGAATCAAATTCTGCTGTACTGTATGCGTAAAAGTTTAAACCAAAGAGAGATCAGCTTTGTATTTTATTTGAAGTGCTTTTTGAACATGAGGTGATATCAGATTACTGCAGAAATCAGATTATGATATGGATAAACATGCTTTCTTATTAACTCTTTGAGTGGGGAAACTGCATAATTTGTGAGAGTATAAGGAGAATTTCAACAGCATTATGACTAGTGTAAATGTCATTGCAGAAAATGTTGCAGAAGAAAATTCCATCAAATAAGGAAAAGAGAAATCTGCTGTACGTTCCCCAAAGTTATGACTGCACCATTTATGAATTTAAGTGATGATTTAAATAATAATAATAATAATAATAATAATTAATAATAATAATAAAGTTGGAAGGGACCTTGGAGGTCATCGAGTCCAACCCCCTGCTCAGGCAGGAAATCCTACACCATTTTGGACAAATGGCTGTCCAGTCTCTTCTATAGGCAGTCTGAAATGCCATTACTTTCTTGACCATTTCTAAAACATTACAATAGTGATATGGATGGATTTGAAGCCAAACTCTTTGATTAGATGACTGCACATCAGAAGTTTGATGCAGCGGCCAGGTTTTGTTGTTTTTAATAGTTTTAATGTGCTTAATATTATAATTTTACTATGGCTTTTATGCTGTTTTAACTCTTGACTGGGAGTCACCCAGAACTGGTTATAAGATGCGTGGCTATATAAATGTTTTAAATAAATAAATACATGTTCCTGAAACTGGTTTCTCTCTATCTCAATTATTTCCAGTCTTGCTTTTCAGATCCCAAGAGAATCTAGTTCAGAAGTTGTTTGAAAGATAAAATTAGCCTCATCCCTCTTTTTAGCCTTGCTTCCCAATTTCTGCTGTAGAGACAGAAGTTTTTTTCTAATTCCCCCTGTGTACATGATCTTCAAACTTCAGTTGACGTGATGTGAACTGAAACTCAGATATTGCTGAATGTGGGGTACGAACTTGCATCTTCATCCACTGCAGTTTGTTTCTATATCGAATTCAAACCTATTTGAGGAATAGTCTTGGTGATGAACACCTTTATTATTGCCATCCTGGAAGCAGAAAACAGCCTTTCCATAAGAATTGGAGGCTTTCACTTCTCTAATAAATATTTTCATCTGTGTTTGGCCTTCCTTTTCCTTATCTCTGATTTTCCACTTGATCACCTTGACCTTGAACAAACACTAGCACATGTTGGCCTTTGGACCTAGTCAGGGTTTATCTTGTCTCCATTTTCTTGGCTTGGATGTGTCTGTACTAGTAATAGTTCCAAAGTAAGTTACTGCTTTTTGTTCTGTACATAAAGTATTTGCATGATATTTGGGTTAATTGAGAATTAATTTCCATGTAATTTGGAATTAGGTTGGTAAATGTTTGGTTATAATAAAAAGCACACTATATGTCACCTAACATCATTTAAGTCAGTAGAAAATTATTCCAGAAGGCACAAGTTTAGAATGAGTGCTTGTGCACTCTGAAATCTACTCTGTTCCTTCTGTATACTTTTAGAAACATTTCTGAAGCTGCTGCTGTTCTTAGAAGTACATAATTATTTTTCATTCTTTATAGAACTGTATCTCTTTCTTCACAATCTGTCCTGAGATTCTAAGTTTACCTACTTCTCTCTCTATTAGTGTTCCCATTAAATTCATCACATTCCTTAGCTTTCCCACACACACCCTCATTCAGTCTACAGCCGCTCAAGTCAAAACAGTGAGTCAAACAATATTGTTCTCACACCTGTGGTTTGTCAAGACCAGCATCACAATTTAAGCAGAGTGAAGAGGCTGCCTCAGGAAACTGATTCTGGGTGTTATGAATGTTTTGCTTGTTGTGAGCAAAATTGTTAGTTATTTCACTGAAGTTATTGGGCTTTTTTTTTTTTACTGCCCAGGCTAAGGAGAGATAACTTGGCCATCTTGATATGAGAGGCTGAAGGATGATGGCCCTGTAAAATATGTTAAGATAGTCCTCAATCCACTCATTCTTCAATTCCCTGCCAGGCAAAATATCGATGTGGTTTTAAATATGCAGTAGCTATGCTATAGTACCTGCTGTTTTCTCATCGGTTGCTAGGAATCTAAATGTAAGTATTTTGAAACTTTCATCTAGCAAAATGATTTATCATAAAGACTGCTAAACAATCCGTAGTGTACTATTTTCTAGAAATAATTTAGCCATCGAGAATTCTCACACATTTTTAACAGTGTTAAGGAAAGGAATCATCTTAAGCATTTATTACAAGCGTAACAAAATAAGTTAAAGCTTCTTAGAAATGCTTTTCATTTTATTCAGCATCCAACCTAAGAGAGATCTTTTGAAAATAATTTTTTTTAAAAAAATTAAAGTATTGAGTGTCCAAGATTTACATTTTAAAAGTACATAGTTTTTTAAACAACTGAGCCACATACTATCTTTTAAGAAGTCACTTGAAAATCTATTTTTCTAGCCACAAGAAAATGTAAAAAGACTTGAATTGATAATTATTAACAAGTCAGCACTCAATATTCTGTAAATTATAGCATAGCCAAGAAAATAAAAATTAGAACAAGTTTATACAAAGATATCAGTGGAGTTAGATAGCAGCTGATGGATTTCTCAGTGGTTTGTACTACGTTCGGTGAGAGAAAATAAGGACTTGCAATCTCTATTGTGGTAAATGTTACTGAGTTCTGATGCAAGTGCATGCGTATATCTTGTCCTTCACCAGAATTTGGGCTGGGAGTGGCAATGTTATAATTATACAGTCTAAACTTTAATTCCCCAAAGAGTTACTCACAGCCAAGGTGACACAAAGAAGAATAGTTAATTAGTCAGTGTAGAAGTGAAAAATAAAGTCTTAAGTCCTAGTTTTTAAAAAGAAAATCTGTATTTTTCTCAAGGATAATCATGTTAAAATGTCCACAGCTACCAGTCTGTCAAAAAATAAAAAAATAAAAAGATGGGCAATAATCAGTGCTCATGGACAACTTCTTGGACAAAATTAAATATTAGAAAGGTGATATTTTCTGTTAAAGAAGACCTCAACATCTAAAATGACATGTCAGCTAAAAGGACATGTCAGCTAAAAGGAAGATAGGAACCCATCAGAGATAAAAGACAGTGATTTACAGCAGAGTCAGCAGACTGTCCAAGAATGAGTTCAACAAGTAACAGGTTGTAAAAGCAAGTCACAATGTCAAGAATTACAATATGACCAACAAGGTGCTTCAAAGTTATTATAAAGAACTAAAGCAAGATGCTGCTTCCTGCCCAAATAATACTGAACCATCCATTAAGATTAAGAAAAAGCTGCAATTTCCTTTCTTTCTCTACTTTCTCTCATGGAATCTAGTTTTCAGAAGTGTACTACATACTTGAATCTGGACTCCCAAATTCCTATGCTACTTATTGGTGAAAACATTGATCTCATAGTTTACTAGCCCCTGCACCCAATTTCCCTGGGAAGCAAGTTTGACTTTGAGATTCTGTATTTTCTGCCTCTGGTTCTATGTTATGCGATTGGACTTCTAGACTTAGAATGCCCAGTGCCAATGGAAACATCAGCAGTAATGCAGCAAAAAGAATTACCTTGTTCTAATTTTTCTAATCATATCTTGTGGTAAATAGTTTAACAATCCTAATTATTTATATTTCTAAAGTTTTAAAACCCTGATGTTTTAATTAAATTACCACTAGCCCTATTGTTTAGAAAGGATATCAAGAAACACATGCATACATATACATACACACACACAAATACAGTATGCACACAAACAGACACAAAGGTACATTTAAACTGGCTATCTGAAATGATTTAATTGTATGCAGTATAGTTATATTGTATACAGTATATGTATATGTATGTTGTTTTAAATATTCCTCTGAATTTCATTTTGTGGTAGCTGCTGTAATTGTCTTGGTCAGATGGAAAAATGTGCTAGAAAACTAATAAAACAAATCTATAGGCTATGCTATACAATTGTATAAGAAATCAGCTACGCTTTAAACTCTGCAGCATGTTATTAGTGAAATGTTGCTTATCTAGTAAGATAGCTCAGAAGTCACCTTCCTGTAGGAAACACGACAAATGTTAACTCATTGCCTTCTTTAATGCTTATTTTTCCTGCTTTATCTATAATACTCTGGTTGCAGGCAGCTATGCATTAGTAGTCCCCTAAATCGAGAACATTTAAACAAAAATTTGGCTCTAAGGAAGAGAAGTTAAATGATTCGAGTATATTTGCTAAAATCAAGAATTCTTGAATGGTCATCAGACCATTTCTGACAACAGTGAATGAACTTGATAAAATAAAATGAGGAAAGAAGGAAGTATGTAAAGATTTTTAGTAGGTAGTAAACAGGGCAGAATTGGATTTGGAGTGGTAATGAGAGAAATATTTCCTTAAGAATTTCCTGTAGATAGTGATTAGATACAGATCTCTGAACTTCGATAGTCTACCCACAAGTATTTGAGCTATAAGCTTAACATAATGTTTGTCTAACTTAGACGTCATATTTGTTATATTTCCAGGACATCTGGTGGAAACACTCTAGAATGAAATATGTTTTCTTTCCTAGCTGGAACTGATCAGTTAGATAAGAGAATGAGCTATCCATCTCCATTTTTCTTTCCATTTTCTCTATTTTTATTTCATGTATAGCAACCAAAAAGTTCAAGGCAACAAATAAAGCCTCTGTTGTTTTACTAATTGTTTTTATTAAAATTCTGCAGCTACATCTACTTCTCAGTTCTTAATTCTGGGTCATCATCTACATATTTAGCCCAATAAGAATTTATCTAATGGCTAACAGATGGATTTTCTGCAGTTTCCTTAGGTCAGCTGGGGAGGACAGAACCAGTCTTGGTTGAAGAGTTGAGTGATACACTCCTCCCCAAACATCATATAGTTCATACCTATTTTACACTCCCATAATACATAAAAGTAGCCTTGCTTAATAAAAAGTTGGATAGACATTCCATAGAAATTATCTCTCCAGAAAAGAGGTATTCTATAAGAACATTATTCTTTCCTACATAGTTTATTTGTATAATAATTTCCTTCTGCTGGCTATTGGGGTGGTCTGAGAACAAGAAAACAGCCTTTAGTCACGGTGTAATAATTTTCCAAAATTGAGATTCTTATCCAAAATAAAAATAAATATGCGTCTATATGAGCTACCAAGGACATATTGCTGCTACAGGCAATACAAAGTAAACTGAGTCATCCTTCCACAAGCATAAAATAATACCAATTGTCAATGACACTTGGTAAAGTCATATCAATGCTTATTGTAGAAATGCTTGTAGTACCCCATGTTAAAGTGCAGAATTCCTAAACCTTGTATAAACCTTACCAAGCCAATATTCACTTACATAAACATAGCAGATCTTAATCTAGTCTTTAGCTCCAGTCCTCTCAGAAGGCATAGTTTTTTTATTAGTTCTTTCAAATGTATTTTTAAGTGAAACCATATTTTTAAAAGTGCAAGGCCAGTCATTAATGTCAGCTAGATCTAGACTTGCCATATCTAGGTTGCAGGAATCAGATGACTGCTGGATAACAATAGCCTATTAGAGTTTTCTATGCCTCTTTTTGGCTATCTGGTGGTTATCTGATGTTTTGCTGCCCAGATATGGTAGCCTTATATGTGCCCCTCACTGACAATATTAGAATATTAAAATGCTAGGTTGGTGCTTGAGTATCCCCATTAAGTAACCGTTTTAACGAAGAGGACATTTTCACAAAATGGATATCATGATAGGGGACTATCATTATCAGTTGCATAATGAATATGCTCACCAGATTAAAAATTATTGATTATTCTGTCTAGTTCACTATTTTAAAATATAAAATTATTTCAAAGTGGCTTAATAATAATTGCAGTAAACAAGTTTAATCCAACTGCTATTAATCAGTTACCATGTAATCACAAGAGTAATCACTCTAAAGCTAAGTCATGCCTGAAGGCCTTCCCAAAGTTTTTTCTCTAATTTGCTCTTCCATAAATTCTACCCCAGCCTGATAGGTTAGACTTGCAACTCTGGAGATTCTGACAGTTGTAATCCTATCATATCTAGAGGCACCAGGTTGGAAAAGAGCTGATCTTGGCCAAATTCCTGAATTTAGAAGCATTCCTAGCAAATTAATCCATGCTACTGAAAAAGAAAGATGATAATAAACCAGAGAAACCATTACTTATTTGACGTTTGAGCTCAACCCATGTTAAAGGATAATGCTAAACATGCTGTTCATTGTATGTAGCTAAAAGAATAATGTGGTAGATTATTGTCATAGAGGTCTATGACAATTTGTCACAGCCAACTCACCACAGCCAACTGGCTGTAGGACAACTCACCATGGCCATCTTACTGTGGGAAATTCGATGTGGAATAAGAGTTACATTGATATCAAAGAAATGGTGGAATAGAGTCATTAAAGAAAGGATGCAAAAGAAGGGACAGAATGAAATGTGAATGACAAAAATTAAAATATTTTTTATTTATTTTAAATAATTAAATTGAATTGCCAAGTTGTCCCGCAGCGAGCTGTCCCATAGCAAGTCAGCTGCCATGAGTTGGCTGCAGCAAGTTGTCCCATTCCACTACCATAGTACATAGTGAGGTTCTAGGGTGGAAGGAGAAGCTATCATGAATCCTTTTAGAGATCAAAAGTATCTTGCGAGAGAAAAATAGACCATTAGAAATTGTGAACTTAGCTTTTCATCGTGCTAACATGCTTTTTTCTTTATTTTTTTTCCATGCGAAAGGTTCAAATAAATCATCTACTGCAACCTCAGTTGGTGCTGTTCAGGAGTTATTCAGTTGGTACATAAAGTCTTTTAAAAATTGAGACAGTTTAAAATGTTTTTAAATGCGAAATAAATTATTCTGCTTACTCTGCAAAATAGTCCATTACTGGAATGCAAATGTGTGTTATATACTCAGATATCACAAACTTGAAATTTTGGAACGAACAATGTTTTTTTTTTTTATATCTTGAAGAGTTTTTAAGCCAGGGGTCTTCAAACTAGGCCCTTTTATGACTTGTGGACTTCAACTCCCAGAATTCCTCAGCCAGGCAAGTCATAAAAGGGCCAAGTTTG